ACTACTATTAGGGTTGAGCTTGAGGAAAGATTGATGAGGAGATACCTTCAAATCTTGAAGGACTAGGATTACCCATGGAACTACTATTAGGGTTGAGTTGAGGAAAGATTGATGAGGAGAAGACCAAAGAACCATGACAGGTTGATGATGAGGATGATCTTGCTTGTCAGGATCCATCTCACTAATGGTTTCATAAAGTAACACAATCTAGTGATGAATATGCCAGGTTGACCACACATTATCTGAGAACACTTCTTCATTTCTAGACCTCCAGATGAATCAGTAAGTAGTTGTGAATAGCACACCTTTTGAACCAATAATGTTCCTTTTGGTTCATTATTAAATTGTATCATCAATTAAAAAGTCTCGATCAACTTGCCAATGCATAACTTGCCGAGCCATTTTAGCTTTCTTGGAGTCCCTAAGAAAGTGAAGAGTATCATCTTGGAAAATGCCACACTTGTTACAAGTAGAAATCATAGACAAATGTCTAGAAACACAAAAGGCTTTCGTACACGGCTTTCTTTTATAGTAAGCCATAAGAGCATTTTTATACTTTCACGTATGCTATTTTTCAAAAGCTAGGACCAGGAATCTCCACGGGTATTACTTGCGAAAAACATCGCCATCACTAAACCACCAGTATGCAAATTTAGCTGAAAATTTGCCATCAGATGTAGGTTGCCTAAATGAAATCATCCTCTATGTTAACATTACCAGAAACTTGTGTTGTTAATATACTTTTTGAAAAATACTTTTTAAAATACTAAATTTAATGTTTTTGAAAGAACTTTTCAAAATTATATAAAGTAACACATTTTCAAAAAATGTTTTTCAAAATAATTTTACTATTTTAGAAATTATTTTTTAAAATATTAATTTCAGTGTTCGAGAAAGTACTTTGTAAAAGTATATAAAAAGTACACCTTCAGAAAATACTTCCTGAAACACTAAATTTAATGTTAAAGTTTTTCAAGGTATGAAAGGGAAGGAAGTGCTCGGAAAAAAAATGCGCGGCTGCCTCGACACATTTAAAATTGTTGAGGAAATCACACATACCTACAACATCATTGTTAATGATGACAAAAAAATATGTACCTGCAAGTATTCATAGATGAAATTTGCCAAGGTAATAAATATGTAGCCTAAATAGATACTCACAGGTAATAAGTACAGGTATTTTTCTACACGTTTATAAATGGAACAAGGACAAGTATGGTAGTACTCATACATGTGACTACCTGCTAAATAAAATTACTTAAATATTCATATTTTTATCTTGCATTTTTTTATATTATTTTTAATATTTCAAAAAAATATCATTAATTGCAAGTTCAAAAATTAATATCAATTGTTTATCTTTAATATTTATAATTCTTTTTTTATTTATTTAAATTTTAAAAAAATTTACAAATCTCCATGTACCTAGGAGTATTTATAAAATTTGTAGGTACCCATTTAAAGCATACTCACATGGGTATTGGGCGAGTGCAAGACAAATTTTTATCTAATGGGATAGGTACGAGTACTCTTCTACTTGTTCCCACAAATCTCATTATCATTCCTAATCGTTGCATACCAGTTTTACGGTTGGGGTACATATGAAAACTAAAAGTGCATATGAAAACTAAAAGAGGTGAGGAAAGAAGAGAATATTGTAAAAATCAAAAGAATTAAAATTACTTACTGAAATAGGTATAAAGTAGAGAAAAAACAAGATAATATATGTGAAAATGAAGGAGAAGGAAGAAGATATTAAAAATAAAAAGAAAAAATATTAAATTGAAAGTTAAAAGTGTAAATTAAAAAATTAAAGAATAAAAAAAGATTAAATATATTTTTAAAAATTAAAAAAATAAAAGAAGTGTATTTATTAAAAAAATATATTTATATCATAGCCAATTTCAAGTTAGAAAGTATATGTGATTTTATTATGAGGCCCACGAGTCGTGAATACGAAAAGGCCATCACACAATCAGATGTTGAGCCTGAGCCGAATGCTCTCCACCTAGGCCCAGTAAATAATGCAAATGAGTATAAATAAGGAAATGAGTCTGTTTGTTTGCGATTTCGTAAAAAAAAATAATTAATTATTAATTTGTATCCATCTAATCAACATTTTTTTTATTCTTCGTTATTTTTATTTCTTTCCTTTCTATTTCCCTCTTTATCCAAATGAAATATAATTATATCTCATTGTATTAATATTTTTTAGTACAGTATATATAAATTACTAAACCTGAATGCTTAAAAGAATATGAAATAAAAAAAACATAAGAGATAAATAAATCAATTAACCCACAAAGTAAACAAAAAAGAAAAAAAGAAAAGGTGATGTGAATGTGATAATAGCATAATTGGAACCTAAACTTGATAGAGGGAAACATCCAATTGATTATCTAGTTCAACATAAACTAACAAAATTCATACATAATAAATTTGCACACAAAAATTATTCACAAAATTCATGCATAAAAAAGGAATAAGCTTGCAACAGGAAACACACGTAATAACAGGCATCCTGTAGCTCAATCGGCAAGACAGAAAATGTATAGGTCATCAATGCAGAAAACGTTAAGAATCTTGACGTTTTCAATACAATTTTTTAGTACAACTAAAAAACGTTAATAGTATTAATGTTTTTTGAACAAATTTTCCTTAAATTAAAAACGTCAATTATACTAACATTTTTCTTGTAAATTAACATTTTGCTTATAAATGTCCACGTAGCTAAAATAATTTGTTTATATAAATTATTTTTTAAATAATTTATATTGTAGTATAATATTATTTTCATTTATTATAATTTATTTTAAAATATAAAAATTTTATTCATAAATAATTATGATAAATTAGAATATAGAAAATTCTAAAAAATTCTAAAATATGTTTGATTAAAAAATTAATAATATTCTTGTATATGATAAAAATTTATATTTAATATATAAGAGTTGATTTAAAATTTATTTTAATTGTAATTTTAAAATATTTAATTATTTTCGCTCACATTGAATTACATGTCTTATGTTTTCTTTTAATTTTTTTATTCATTTTAAAAACTATGTTTTGGATTTTGATTTAACTTTAACATTAAGAGAAAAAAAAATATAAATCAAAGAAGATAATGCGGTCGGAGGGGTCACTAGAAGCTAGCGTGGCAACACTTGTTTGGATTTGGAGTGAGAATTTGTGAAGGAAAATCCAAGAGTGATACATCATACAACTCAACTTGGAAGAGTAGAGACTTGAAAATCCAACACTGATATCATCTAATCTACAAGCTTCCGTTGCCATGTCTACACCTTTTCTAAGTCCATTGCACTAGATTTTCTTTCTCCTATGTTTACCATGACCATACTCGTTCAATTCTCTGCCAAATGTTCTCACTTTAACCCCAACTTCTTTCACGCTGGCATATACAAGAGACCCACTTTCTCTTTCTCTCGGTTGGAAACAAAGTTTGCTCCTTTTAATCGGAACAGTTTCAAGCTGAGAGCTTGCAGGGAGCGTTGGTCCTTCGCCGGGGGTACAGTGTTTAAAAATGGGGTTTTGTTGGAAGGGAAGGGGTGCAAAAGGGAAAAGAGAGTGGTGTTGGTGAAGAATAATCAAGGGTTTGGCTTCAATGGTGGTGGTGGTGGAAGAGATGATGGTGCCACTGCTAGGATGTTGGGAAACCTTGCTCTAGCTATTGGATTGACATACCTTTCTATGACTGGACAACTTGGTTGGATTTTGGATGCTATTGTCTCCATTTGGGTATTGTTCAATATTCTCTCTATTGCTTTGTTTTAATTGTGTCACATTTGGCTTAATAAGCTTAAGTTTTCTTGAAATATTGCAAGTGCTTATTAATTCTTTATGTGCTACACTGCTACTTCTATGTAGTTCCATTCCATCTTGTTTTTGAGTTATCCATCTTTCTGTGCTGAATGGTTTAGTACTTTTAGTTGAGTCCATATTTGAGTGATTCCATTAATGGTTGGCACTTGGTCTTTTTTATGTCTTAGATGCTATCATGAAATTCACAAGGGTAGCAACCTTGAGGTTGTGCAAGAGCTCATCCTCTTGTTATTATCATGCAATATATGGAAATTTTACTATAAATGAATTTCAATTAGTGCACCACTTTAGAAGAAGAAAGTTGCAAGATAGAATACAAACGGATTAATAGAGGAACCAAATATGAGAGTGCTTAATTAGTTGTATAATTTGTTATGGCAGAGTTTATCAAATAGGTTTTCCTGGTAGAACCTTTTACACTCGTAGAATCTTCAACTCTCCTGGTGCATCCCTATTACAGCATTCTTCCCAGCTTCTAATTGTACTTGCTATCAATCCTGTTCTCGTCTAACAAATAAAAAATAAAAATAAAAAAGATAGACATAATTTTGGCAATTTCTTTCTTCTTTTTGGATAGGGCAGTTGAATTAAAATAAGTGAATGATAGTTTTGTATACTTCATAAGAGCACCGGCTTATTAAATAAAAATTCCATGCTGTTACCTGTTAGGCTATTTGTGCTTTTGTGGTCAGACTGACAGTTAGCAGTAACACTGATAAAAGTGTTACATGAACAGATCAAACACGTTAAGTGTTTAACCAGAAAAAAAGAATTAAATTCTGAGTCTGTGAAAAGCTCTTAAGATTATTTTAGTGATTACTCTTCTTGGTTCTTATAACCTTGGATTCTGGACACCAAAATGCTTAAATAGGTTTGCACATCTAATTCTAGATTAACTGAGACAAACTTTGTGCTCCAATGTAAATCTGTGCTACTACCTGTCCAAGGACATGGGGATAGCCCTTGTTGCCTGTTTTACATCATTTCTTAATTTTACCTGTATAAAAAAAGGTACCATTTTTGTTTGTTAGTATTTCTGTATTTTATAAAACTAGCATGATGTAAATTATTTTTGTTCAATTTCAATGTAAATTAATTTCCAAAGCATTGTCCTTTGATCCCTTGGTGATCCTTAATGTCTTCCAACAAACATATTTCTTCTAAATTAGTACATGTAAATCGTTCAACTGACTGATTTGATTTTTGTTCTCTTTTTATTTTTCATTTTCAGATCTTTGCAGTGTTAATACCAATAGTAGGTCTTGGTGCTTTCCTCTGGTGGGCAGGGCGAGATATAATGCAAGGCACCGTGAGGCTTCAAAATTTAACTCTGAAACTTCGTGCTCTTTTAAATCATACTTTATAAATTATGACATATATTGCTTACAATTGATTTATTTTGGTTCTTTTACATACTTCCATGTGTAAGCATGAAGTCATTTTTCCCTAACTGAGGAATTTGCACAGAAATTTATGATTAAGAAAATTTAAAGGGAAAAGTTAAATCTTGTAATTCTTTTTATATCAAACTAGCCTTTTTATTATTTTGATATCAACTTCTTGATTTAATGCTATCCAGTTATTGTGAGCACTTGGAATATTGACTAGTCTATTATTCTAAGATAACTTGTAAGTTGTAACTGAACTGACTGGGATTTTGTGTTTGTGTGTGTTGTATATGCAGTGTCCAAATTGTGGAAATGATTTTCAGGTTTTCAAGTAAGATTTATTCAATAGATATTGTTAAGCCATTTATAGATGATTTATTTTGAATTAATTCAACTAGCTACAATTGGCTTATAATGTCTATTTATCTGTTTCAGATCCTCTCTAAATGATGATTTGCAGCTGTGCCCCTTTTGTGGTCAACCTTTTTCTGGTAAGAGTGTATTATTTTGCTTGTCTGTCCTTAAATTCTTCCTGTTGTGTTCTGTCAGTATTGCACTGAACTATTTATAGCTTAGATTAGAAAATTAAGTGGAATAAGTCTTATTATAGATTTTTAGTCAAGGTTGTTAATGAACATTTTACAAATGTTGTGACTTTTATTTTTTTATTCTTAAAACATTTGGAACTTCCTTGGTTTTTTTCTTAGCAACACTGAAACCTACAGTTACTTGCTAAGACTGTCACTGTTCTTAGTTCCTGTCTAAAGTAAGGTTGAAACTTGAAAGGATATACAATGCATGACAGATGATGAGTGTGTTTCACTGATATCATTTACTATATTTATTGTGTATATTACATGATTTTTATTTGCTTATATTCATATAATGTTCCTGAAACCTCATTCTCTGTTTCATTCCCTTCTATGCCAAGGTGCTAGAATATTCTGTATATATTAGATGTTCTAGATAGTTTTACACTTTTACTTTCTCTATCCCTTCATTTGTTGTTTATGTATCTTCTTATATATCTTGGTTTGTAAATAACTCTATTATATCTTGGTTCCTGAAACCTCATTCTATTTCATTCATATTATATTGATCCTTTGAAGCATGGGTACATCATTTTATGAGCCATACCCATGTAGTATCAAGTCTAGGTACACATTGGGTATACCTGGGTGCTTATAAAAAATATATCTGTTTTTTGAAAAAGTAGTTAAAATCATTCATCTTTATTTATGAAATGTGAGTTTGTTAATTTCTTTAATTATAGAAATTTTCCCAATAATCTACAGTTCTACACATCTGTTTATTCTATTTATGTTCTGCTTTATATTAAAATGTACCCATATTTTCAATTTTAAAGCCTGTTGTATTCTGTATTTGTATTCATGTTGGGTACTGGTACCACATCTGTGCTACTTAGTTTTAGTCTGACCTTTGAGTTCAGTTTAGCTGCTTAACACCGACAATTGTGAATTTCTTCCCATTAAGTGAAATCTAGTTTTTCCTTGTCTTTAATCATGTCAAAGCATATCTTGTGGTAAAAATGTTTCTTGTGTATAATTTTTATTTAGCCCTGTACTTTTGTCAAATGAAATTGAAAATTCCTCTATAGGTTGCAGAAGACATGCTACCCTATAATAAGATGAGTGATTAGCCAATGTTATATTTCTGATAGCTTCAATTCCCTGGGAGATAATGATGGTCTTTACTATGAGATAACCCTTTTGATTCATAGAGATATCCGCCTCCGATCTTTATGGTACTTTTAGTGTATGTTCCATGTGGTGTTCTTAAAGTAGATAACTAGAATGCTTTATATCATTCGTTTTCTCACTATTCAGCACTATTTCACTATGAATATCACAAGGTGCACCTTTCTCACTGTTGAATTATTTTGGTATCAGTTGTTGGCAATGAGTTTGTGAAGGACTCTGTCAAGTTTTCAAACCAATCTACAACATTTGGACAAGCATTCAATAACTTCTCCCGTTCTAGAAATGGTAATCTTGACATGGCTTGTTTCCCCTTAAAAGTACATTGTGTTGAAGTGCAACTTTTTTCCTTTATCCCCCTCTCTATTATTTATCCTTAATCTTTGTTGATGATGCTGTGTGCTGTTATTTCTGTCGTGGCAGAAAAAGATTCTGGTAGAGCAATTGATGTTGAAGCTGAAATTAAAGATGTAGACTGAGTCTTCAAAGCCATAACATGCTGGTAGGTGTGAAGTAATTAGCAACTTTTGAGTTGAACACAGTTAACCCTATCAATCATGATCTTTATGCCTACCAATCATGCATTTTCAGGATGACCACGATGAACACGAATCTTATTCGTTTAAAGAACAGGCTGTGGCTTGCATATGCTTGTAGTGAAGATGCAATGAATGACGCATTGAAGGGCATGATTTGCAAAGTAACACATTCTAGAAAGGAGAGGAGTGTGGTGAGCAGAGTAGCATTGCAATTGTAATATAAGTTTTGACAGTGATGTTTCTCAGGTCACACCTCTATTATTTTGGTGTACCAAAATGCAGTTTCATTTTCTTTTCTTTGTTACACAAAATGTTTAGTATGCTTCAGCTTTAACAACTTTTTCTGATTAGTTATAATTATAACCCTTTTACAAGACATAGAAATAGTCCGTGTTTGGTTAAAATTTAAGAAAGTACGTATGGTTGTGCCCAAGTCACCTCTAATCCAAAGTCACTATTTGTAGCTTCAAAAATTTACGTAAAAAATGGTCTACTGATCAAGGTAGAAGACGCAGAACAAACATACGCATAAAGGCGTGTCTGGTTGCTATTTTGTAATGTACGTGTTAATATTTATTCACGTCCAAATAATGAAATGGTTGTAAAAATTAGTATTATTAGCTTTGTCATGATCTACGTTTATGTTACGTGCAAAAATTAGTATTATTTTTACTGTATTTGTTTCCTATATTGCTTATGTTTACACAAGTTTAACATTTTTCAACCTTCAACGCTAGTCACTCTTTGGAGTAAGTTATACTGTGTTTGGTTGGCGAGGGATGCTGATGAAATAGAGAGGAGAGACGAGAAATAAGCAAGACGAACAAAATGTGATTTGTTTGTATAGAGATTTTTCAGATGAGGAATTTATAAACGTGGAACGTTCTTAAAAAAATATTGGATAAATGGTAATTGTATATTTAGTTTTACAATTTTAACCTTACTTTATAATCTCATCAAACTCATTCTCATTCGATTACTCATCCTCATCCAACTCTCATAAGTGCATGTCTGGATTCACGTTTCCAATTCACGTTTTAACCGATTTGACGCAGAAGTAAAAAATCATAGCATCTTATTTTCGCGTCATTTACGTGAGTCAAGCCCGGGAAACGTGAAACCAAACACACTATAACTCAACTCATTTGAATACATGAGAGAGACTAGCATCTGAATTATGTAAAAAGAGACTCTCCCTTCTACTCTATTCTGATTTCTGCATCATTTGTAAGGTAGTTGCCTTGCTCATCTGTTCCAAACTCTTTGGCTTGCGCTAGTAATTTTTACAGGTAAGCTTCTTTTGCATTTTTTATACATTTATTTTTCGTCATTTTTCCATGGTGTTGAGTTGAATGCTACTAATGTGTTTGTAATGTTTAGATTTGGTAGATTTATATTTTGAATTGATTGAGCTTGGGTGTTCCAGATCTACATTATAAAAGTTATTATTCGAATAGAAGCTTGGTTTATTCGATTACAACCATGCTTTATTTGAATAAACGTTGTTTTATTCGAATACGGATAGTGTTATTTGAATACAACCATTTTTATTCGAATGCACCACTGTTTTCATTATGCTCCATTGTTTTATTTGAATGTCGATGTTGTGTTATTCAAATACAAACCTTTTTATTCGAATACACCAATACGTGTTATTCGAATGAGTTTCATGAATAGGCCCTCGTTCTAATGATGCCCCTCTGGCTTTTTTATTCGAATTGCAATTTTCTTTTATTCAAATAAGTTGTCTTTTTTGGTTTATTAGGATGTGATATTTTTTTAGATAGTAATATTTCTTACAAATTAATAAATATTATCTTAACTGTATTTTTTAAGCTTAGTTAATTAAACATGAAATTCAAATTAATTAATTGATAATTATCTAATTTAAATATTTTATATTTTGTGATGTTATTGTACCCTAGACAAATTGCACATAAAAAATGTTAATGGAATTTAACAATACGGTGATGAGCATACAAGGTTTACAAAGTGGATTAAAAAATTTAATGGTAAACATTCAAGCTTTGGATACAAAAGTTGGCAAAAGATTTGAAAGATTGGATCAAAGGTTTACGGGAATTAAAAATCTTTAATTATATATATAAGTATCTTTATGTATCTTCATTTATGCAATTATGTTTATTTTTTTTATGTATTTAAGTATAAAATTTAACTTTACACTTATATTATGTTTATGTTTTTTATGTGTTTCAGTACAAAATTTAACTTTGTATTGTATTGTGAGTGTGAACCTATTTTCTGTATTCTATTATTTATTTTAATTAAACTTTATTAAATTACGTTGTACATTAATTATATATTAATATTAATAATAAAATATTCATATATAAAATGTTAACAATTATATATACTACAAATGGTTGTTTACCATTAATATGAAATATCTCCTTTTTACCCACTTTTTAATAAAATACGAAAAGAATTTATATACAAAATAATAACTAATAAAAAATATAATTACCCATTTTTTTAAATATTTATTTTCCACAAAGCCACATATTAGTAGTTATAATTAATAATTAACATTAATTATAAATAATTTATCATAATAAAGTTACTAGAACAGATATTATTCAAATAAACACATTTATTCAAACAAAAATTATTCGAATAACACTTGAAAGTAATGTTATTCGAATAAATTTTGTTATTAATTTAAATAAACAACAAAGTTTATTCAAATAACACACATAATACCACTTCTAAGAGGTGATTTATTCGACTAAAAAACAACTTACTGTAACTGCTCTTATTTGAATAAAGGTTACGTGTCAAATGAATGTAAAATTTTACTTGATAGTAAAATTTCAATTTTATTACTAATTATAATTTATTAGCTTTTCTTCCATTTAAACCAAATCACTTTATAATATTATTTCTCTTTTATTTCTTATTTATTTCTCTCAAACCAAACAACCTTATTTTCACTCTATTATTACCTATTTCACTCTCTTCTATTTCTCTCCTCTCAACCAAACACTTTTAGGGGACTCAGTCGAGGAACAAGGTCTCTTTACTAACTTCAACCATTTGATTCTTTGGAAATTATTGCGAGCCTTTAGCTGAAATTTTCCCGCGACAACTAGTATAAATAATCTCTATTTATTTGAAGGTACTTATAATTTGAAAAATAAAAAAATGAAGTGAAAATCTTGAAATGATAATAGAGAAAATCAGTGTGAATAATCAATTTTATTCGGACTCACAAAATTAATGAAATGAACATCTACTATGAAGAGGAGGAGCTTTCAAAGTATGGAGGTGACAACAAGGAAGTTTGAAGCAAAAAAAAAAACAAAAGTTAAATAGCCCAGAACGGGCCGTTCCAAATTCGGAACGGGCCGTTCCTAGTTACAAAAAAGCACAATAACCCTACTTGAGAACGGGCCATTTCAAAATGGGAACGGGCCGTTCCAAGTCAGTTAAAAAGCCTAAATTTTCTTATTTGGAAAGGGTCGTTCCGAATTTCAGAACGGGCCGTTGCGCATTTAGAACGGGCCGTTTTGAATTTAGAACAGTCCGTTCCAGATTCAACTTTAGCTCACAACTAAATGATCCCGAACAGGCCGTTCCGATTTCGGAACGGGCCGTTCTGGTCAGGTCTGACGTCTATAAATAGACGTCTGGGACACAGTTTTCAGGGCCTAGAAAAATTTCGTCCAATACTCTTTAGAGCTCGAATTTTTTTCTCTCTCTCCTCCCTCTCTTTTGTATTTCTTGAAATCTGTGAGACACCTCTATAATGTGAAAGGTAGCCAAAAAGCACCTTCTTGATCATCATATTCGAAGATTCATCTCATTTTCCTAGTATCTTACCTGGCACAAGTTACAATCTCTTTTGTATAAGCCCAGTATCTACCTGGCACGACCCATCGACTAATCCCGCACAAGCATTTGGTCGATCCAATATCAACATTCAATCAATCAAGCACCAGCATTTGATTGAATTGGCACCAGCATTTGGTCGATACAACACAAGCATTCGACCACTCCAGTATTAGCATTCAGTTCATCAATATTCAATTAATCCAGCACCAGCATTTGATTGAATTGGCACCAACATTCAGTCGATACAACACAAGCATTCGACCACTCCATCACAACCATTTAGCATTAATATTCGGTTGATCAAGCACAAGCATTCAACCATTTCAGCACAAGCATTTGGTCGATACAGCACAAGCATTTGACCACTCCATCAAGCACAAATATTCGGTTGATCAAGCACAAGCATTCAACTACTTTAGCATAAGCATTCGGTCGATCCAACACAAGCATTCGATCACTCCATCAAACATTGGCATTCGGTTGATCAAACACAAGCATTCAACCACTTCAGCATTGGCATTCGGTTGATCAAGCACAAGCATTCAACCCCTCCAGCACAAGCATTCAACATTAACATTCGGTTGATCCAGCACTAACATTTGATGATCCCAACACAACATTTTAGCATTGGATTGTTCAAGCAAAAACATTGAATCTTTCAAGAACTTACTTCAACAACAATAGATGGATAAAATTAATTCACATCTTTATTTATTTCTTATCACAAATGATCTAAATTACCTTATTTAGATTATTTAATAAGAAATAAATAAAGAGGGGCAACTGTGAATAATCAATTTTATCCGGACTCACAAAATTAATGAAATGGACATCTACTATGAAGAGGAGGAGCTTTCAAAGTATGGAGTGACAACAAGGAAGTTTGAAGCCAAAAAAAAAAAAAAGTTAAGTAGCCCAGAACGGGCCGTTCCAAGTTAGTTAAAAGGCCTACATTTCCTTATCTGGAACGGGCCGTTCCGAATTTCAGAACGGGTCGTTGCGCTTTTAGAACGGACGTTTCGAATTTAGAACGGGCTATTCCGAATTTAGAACGGGCCGTTCCAAGTTCTAAATTAACACAAAACGGCCATATCCAGAACGAGCCGTTCCGATTTTGGAACGGGTCATTCTGGAAACTTCTGACATCTATAAATAGACGTCTCCGGCATTGTTTTCAGGGCCCCCCGAAAAAATTTTCGTCCAGTACTCTTCAGAGCTCGAATTTTTTTTCTTCTCGCTCTCCCCCTCTCTTTTGTATTTCTTGAGATCTGTGAGACACCTCTGTAGTGTGAAAGGTAGCCAAAAAGCACCTTCTTGATCATCATATTCGAAGATTCAACTCATTTGGTATCGTTTCTTTTCTTAACCTTTTTTTTATAATTTGTTTATTCATTTATTTATTTATTTATTTTATTATTTTTATTTTTATTTATTTATTTATTTTTGTTTATTGTTTGTACATAGTGAATATGATTTTTTGCCTTTAAGATTATTATTTATAAAAATATTTAATATAAGACCAATAATAATGTTAGGTGAATAACATTTTTATCTTTAACATTATTAAGTCCTAGGATTTTAATGACTAGTCATTTGCTAGCTTAAACTCTCCTTAACAAATTTGTTCTTTTAAAAAAAATAAAGATATGTTGCAAACAATAACGTTAATTAAGTAACACTTTTATTTTTAACATTATTGGAGGAATTTATTGATTAGCCATTTACTAACTTGAATCCTTATGCAAAATCTATTTCTTTAGATAAAAATATAAAAATATAAACATAATTTTGCTTTACGTATACATTATTTTTATGATTAATGATATTGAGTAGCATTTCTACCCTTTAATATCATGTAAATCTTTTATTATCAACAAATAAAGATCAATAGCATTTGATTGAATAGCAGTTCTATCTTTCATGTTATTGGGAGGGTTTATTGATTAGCCATTTGCTAACCTGAATCCTTATGATGTTATTTTTTAATTAAAAAAATATACAAAAGAAACATCTCTCATATTTAAAAAAAAGATATATATATATATATATATATATATATATATATGTATACACCTTTTTGAGGAATAAAATAAATGTTTATAAATTTATATAATTTTGCGCAATTAATTAAAGGTACTGTTTTTACGGGCGTTGTAGGGTGCTAATACCTTCCCTACACGTAATCGACTCCCGAACCCAACTTTAATTTTAAAGATTATCTTTTAAAGGGTTTTTCAATTTTTTTCCCTCGAAATAAAATATTGGTGGCGGCTCCATTGAATATAAAAATGTTAGCGTCATCCCGTCGTGATCCCGACAATCAGCAACAGGCTTAAATCCCACAAAAATGCCTGACCTTATTACCAGAGACGATGAAGTGCTTGAAAATACCATAACAGTGATATAATTCTGAAAGGTTTAATTATGACTATACCATCTATAGGAGTAATGTAAAATCCACTAAAACTAGTCTCATTACAAAGATAAAAATCACAGCCAGGAGAGCTAAAGGCAGGTAAAGTCAACTTCACTTTATAACAACCTTAAGCCTTGTCTGATGCTCCAACTTTCTGCAGCAAGACATGGTTAACTAGAATTTGTAAGAAAGTTCAATGCTTACTTTAAGATGTAAAAACGTTATCTTGGAAAGTTAGCAGTCAACAAAGCAAGTACTTATGACGCACAGATAATATCCAAAATTAAAATTTGTGAATGATACCAGCAAGCAAAAAGTTATATTAGCTGCTACTATTGCTTACTATGATTAAACATATAAATCAATCAAGAATGAACATTATCAAGTAAAATTATGAGAAGCTAGCACATATCCCTGCTAATCCAAAGTGTAAGAATCACCCCTAAAACTCATACCACAACGTCCTATATAAAGTATAAAGGCAAACTTATGTACCTCTTCCTTCTTGTTCTTGCCTCCAGTGAATAACTTGTAACCTCCATAGAAGAGTAAACCCCATCCAGACAAAGAAACAATCACAAACTGCAACAGAAGATTTAGTTCATGAAATCATCTGTTTCAAAAAAAAACAAAAAAAGCACATGAAGTCATCAGGTTCCTAGCTAGTAGTTTCAATAGCTGATCAATTTCTCAACATGACTCAAAATATAAGTTTTATTTGCGTGTCAGTGTGCCAACATGAAGAATTATATCAGGTGTGTGTATGTGCTGTTCTTCAGGAGTTATTTATTCACATAAGTTCCCTTGAATATCAATGTCAATAATCAGCATAAACTTATACAGAGAGACCGATTTCAACCACAGACTCACTGTTCTTTGATAGGAACCAGAATCTAATAGACGGATCTTCAAGGCCCAAAAGAATTGTGCACAACACAGTTGGCTTAAGAATTAGGTTAAGTTTATTTCTTTAAGTTTTACTGTAGGGGATCTAACCAAGTGTATGCCTGTATGGTTAAGATCACATAGCCGTTGGAATCCTTAAGGACCATTAGGGATCCTTCCTTTAAAAGCTTGTTTTTCCTTCCTGATTGGATATGAATGAATTGAGAGTATTTTTCATATGTTGGTTTCAGCCACAGACTCACTGGTCTTCCTCAGAAAACAGTTCAGAAGTAGCACATATGTGAAGAAGATACAATTAAAGCAGAATACTCTTGTCAATAGAATAATAATGACTCATCAATCAGCATCAAAATGTGGTCAATCTGGAATATCTTAAACTAACATATGAGAGTTTCTAAAATCCTAAAGTGACTCACATGTTCTTCTTTCCACTTAGATGGACTCATCGGGTCTTGCCAACAGTTCACCTTTGGAGGTCCATGATGATCTGCAACATGTCAAAGTGATACACAGAAGTGATTCTTTAGTAAATACGTGGAAAATATTTCACTTCACCAATCACTCCACTTGCACCAGTGGTTTACTGCAACCTTAACCAATTTTTGGCACATTAATTTCCAAAACCAAAGAAAGCAAATCATGGAAATCACCAACCAATCAGTGATGTATGCACCATCATAATTCATATGGCCGTTCCATTCAGCTAGCAGTGCATCATACATATGAGTGTTCAAAATGGAACCAGCACAAATGAAAAATCCAAACCAAACCGAACAGCTAATATTATACTCCTTAAGTATGATTCATACATCAATAGTTCAAACAGCACAACAAATTGTAAAAAAAATAAAAAATAAAATAAAAAAAAAGCTCTTTCCACAAACTACGAAATTATGCATTTTATTTTAGAATACCCTAAAATGGCAATGAATTTGGACACAAAAGGTCTACAACGCAAAATAACAATCTTCCAATGCCCATTTTACTAGGTAGAGAGCTAGATTCAAAGATTTGAACTTTTCAGCAATAAATTATTAATACGGAAAACCCTTTTGCAGCATTGAACGTAGAACAAGTAATATTGAATGAAACATAATGCTTAATGAGAGAAGAGAAGGGAAAATACCAGCGGCGGTAGCCAAGCCGCGCCGATGAAGGAGCGAAGTCGTTGTTGGTGAGGGGAGCCGAGCCATATTGGTGGCTCGACAAGCCGCGACACTCCACGCCGCCATGGATGATTCAGTACTTCACAGAAACCAGAGGAGTCCAAGAAATAGTGGCAACCCTGCAATTTTTATGTACCAGAAGAATCGATTAAGTAAAAATAATTTTAATCAAGTCTAAAATGTTTTAATTTATTACAAAAAGGAGCTGTCAAAAAAAAAAATAAGACGCATTATTAGGAATCGAATTTTCAATAGTATAAATTAATAATGTTTGTCGGATTTTAATGGTAACTAAAATTATTTTAGTTTACTATCAAATTTATAAAAATTACATATTATTACATTATTTTATTTTTTTTACGAGTACACACAATTTTCCTTTCAAGACTGAAAATTTGGATATTTTAATTATATTTAAACTTACAACATTATATTTGTATAGTAATTTGATTTTTAAATTCTTAAATATAATATTTGAACATCGGCATTCAATATTCTAGGATTATTTTGATATACCTTGGTTGATTTGTACATGTGTAAAGTGCCAATAATTTAACATTTGCGGTGTTAATGTTATTCTTTTGGGCCGTGTTGATGTTATTTTTTTTTTCTTAACGGAGTTTAATATTGGGCCTCTCTAGAGTTTTGTGCAGAATCGAGCTTCAAAATTAGTTTAGCGAAATTCAAAGCCTTTGCTTCCAATTAAGGGTGTGGATGCTAGGAGAGAGCAAAAATTATGAATATCTCTTAAATTCCTTCACTAACAATTTAGGGAGATATTTAGGATATAATATGGTGCATGGTAGAGTTTCATCAAGCCATTTTTCCTTGCTTGTTGAGTAGATTCAAAGGCATCTTGATGGATGGGAATGATGTTTGCCTAATATAGACTAGGTATAGTGACCTTGGTCAATTTTGTCCTAGCTTCCATTCTAACTTACACTATGCAAATGCAATGAGGACCCCCAAAATGTTTGTGGTTTCATTTGGAATGGGAATGTGGTAAGAAAAGTTCATTTGGTCAATTGAAATACCTTGTCAAGAAAGAAAGGTTTGAGGGATCAATAGGGGTTCGTGTTTCTCATCTTCAAAATATTTTTCTGTTAGGGAAGCTTGTTTGGGATATTCTACATAATTCTAACAAGCTTTGGGTTGAAATAGTTACCTCTAATATTCTCCAAAAAATTGTTACCTATAAATATTTAGACCGAGTGTTGGGGATAGAAAGAAAATCTCAAGACAATCGAAAAGATCCTGAAGATTAGTTCGATAAATTGAGAAAAGGGAGTTATCACGAGATATGGTTCAAAGTAGTTAGGGTCGGATCAAGAGTTTTTGCGCGAATATGCAAACATCGAGGTGGTTGTACACCAAGGAAGTTGATATGAATTAACCGTTGCTCGAAGAAAACGTTCAAGGTTTGAGGCACGCAGTAGGTGGTTATCGGAGGTTAAGAACGGTTACAAGGGGCTACTCACGGCGCATAATGGAGAGCAGTTACACATCCCACGTCAAAACCATGTAAAATAACCACCCCCGTTCAAACTCTATAAATAGATGAAGCAACCCCATTTTAAGAGGTCGAAAAATCATGCTTGAGAACTCTCACAAACATTCACTGCCCACGCACATGGCTCCGGTGTATGAGACTGCTGAGTATGATTTCCTGGCCACTTTTTTCTTTTCCTAGTTTCTTAGAATAGTTTTATTGTAGTTTAATATAGTGTAGTTTCGTAGTTTGTTTGCTTCTCAAAATTATTTCTCAAGATCATTGTTTGTAATCTAACAATTATTCGGAAGCAAATTAATCATGATTTCTATTATCAATATATATGTTGTCCATTTAATTCATCTAAATGTCTGCATACATGAAACGCATTTTGTAATAACTGTTGACGAATATTTGGAAATTTGTGCATGCTAATTATATGGAATGGGATCTCTAACAATTTCATATATTTGTTTCATTGTGATTACTCATCTTTTATACATTTAAGACTCATTTAAAATTCTAGTTGTCACGTACTTAAATTGAAAACTTTGCAAGTTCGAACAAAAATGACTCATGAATTTCATTGCAAACACCGAGACATTCAAAAATGTTGGAGAATAAGGGTTCTTATTTGCTTGCGTCAATAAGGAAGGTATTTGATATGTTAAAGAATGGTTTTCAATTGCAACTTGTGGTTTGATCCATCGGTAATTAATTAATAACTAGTAGGATAACTTGTGGTTTGATCCATCGGTACTTAATTAATAACTAGTAGGATAACTTTTGTTTCTCCCTCTCCTAAAAAATTATTAAATTATATTATTTTTTATTAATATTTTTATGGAAAAAAGAAAGACACTAGAATGAAGTTGAATAGTATCAATTGAAAATTCAACACTTTTTTGAAACAATGAAGTAGTATCTAAATTTTAAGAGTGCAAATGAATAGTTAAGAGTAAAGAACACAATATTCTTTTATAATAATTCTTCTCTAACATTGAGATTATGTTCAATTTTTAACCAAGTCAATCAAGTTTCACTATCTTTGCAAAGATACAAATATTTTTTCATAAGTCAGTTCTGACTCGACCTAAGTATTTTTTGACTTACTTCTTCAAATAACTACCTAGGTATTCTATGAAAAACAGTCTTTCCAAGCTTCAACAAAAGTTTCTTCAAGTTTTAAGCTATAATACAAAATTAAAACTAGGAAGTCATAGTTGTTCAAGGCTTTTTACATGTATCAATAAAAAATGATTTTATGTAAAACTTTACACGCTTTGAAATATTTGTTTGTTCTTTTCTCTAACAAAAAATAAATCTTTGTTCCTTTATGAAACTCATATACCAAAGAACCTTTTATTCCTTCTATTAAGGAATAACATAGATATAAATGATTTGATTATCAAACATCATCAACGATATATTTAATGCATTTATCTTAAACAAACAAAGTGGTCCATCTAAAAGACTACACGTGATCATAACCAATCACCTTTCTTGTACGATCTGAAAAATATTCCTTTAACAAAAACATTCAAGTTTGTTAACATTAAAACTCATATTCCCCAGGAGTCTAAGATCATCTTTTGATCTAACAATAACATTAATCTAAGTAAAATTAGGTTTGGATTCTTTAAGTAAAGTATCAAGTTTGTAGACACCTACCTTTATCCATGGCATGTTAATTGTGTAAAAGAGAAAAACTATTTATTGTTCATACTTTAGTCAAAGCAATCTAGGGGGTAGGTTTCTTGTGCTTGTCTTTTATCAATGGTTTTTCATAATTTGAATATGGTGGCATCAACATGAGTAACTAGGTGATTTAATGCACTAAACTCCCTATGATTCTTAGGCACTCGTAAGGTAGGATAGTATACACAAGATCTTAAGTTTGAATCTGTAAACAAATATGAACCTTTTTTTGACAAAAGGCTATACTTCTGTTTAGAGGTCTTCTTTAGCATATCAGTCCATTTTCACAAATAAATATTTAACTAGTTTATTTAATTAATATTTGAACCTTTTTTTAATTTATAAATGCATATCTTTGACAGAGATATCTCCACTCATAAATAAAAAAGGGAGTGGATTAGATAAAAAGAGAATTTGTAATGTTATAAAGTTTGTTTAACTCTTTGTGTAGTCTCATAATGTTCTTCACCAACAATCCGAGGTTGGAGCATATAGTTGATATTGTCATTATAATTTTGATAAATAAAAAAAAGATATTTAGAAGATAATTATGTATCTAAAATCTTATTATACTATTAAGTGTAGAGAATATATTATATTTCTCCTGTTTATACTATGTTGATTTTCTCCTTCATATATTATTTTGTTATCTTCTTGAATATCATTAAAAATCAATATGATAAATAGCATAAAAATAATAATTAATTTATTTATATAAAGAAATGTTCTCACTAATATCAAAAATTTAAAAATCAACAATTGTTTTTAGAATATAAAAGCTTGTAAAGAAAAATTATGATATATATTTAAGCTTTTAAATTAGATTATTGAATTTTTAGTATTATAAATTTTTATATAAATATTATCCCATTGCTGCACTCAATGAGAGATTTTTATTTTGTTTTATTCTATTCTATATATGTATTACATGTGCATTGCTAATCATGTTTCGTGAACTACGGTTGAGTCTTGTTTGAGTTTATAAATTAGCGTGTTTGGATCGGTGTGAGTTGAACTCATCATAATTTTTTGGAAACAACAAATAAATATAATCACGGTGAACTCACCACTAATCTAAATACACACTTATTCGTTGCTCTTTAGTCAATATGTTTACTTTGTAAATTTGGATTCAATACTTCTGTTTAGAATTATTAAAAATATAATTAAATCAATAGATAACAATAAATTTTATAATTGAACCGTACATGTTTTATATTACAAATTAAATTGAAAATTTATTCACATCCGATCCAAAAAAAACATACTAGAAATGATCTAGTTGTTTATCTTTGTCTTAAATTTAGGATTTTATACCTATATATTGTATCTATTGTGTTTTTATGAACTCCAAAAAATCTCTAAATTTTGTAAAAATTTATCTTATGAGATATCGTATTTTGGTACGAGATCATAATTATTAATAACTAAATTTTGTGTAAGATATGAGTATCCAATTAGATAAATATTGAATTGTTTTACGAATAAAGATATGAGTGTGGGATACTCCATTAGCCACTTAATCAGATTCTCTTGACAAAAAATTAGAAGGATATATTTGCCTACCAATCTTAAACATAAAAAATGTAAAATTAAGTTGAAATACTCTTTTATATAAACCCTTTTTACAAAAGGTTAGAAAAATACAGTTATTCAACAATTTCAAACATAAAAGACAAACATTATGTTAGAGCACTCTCTCTTACAGAACTTCTCCACAAGAATTCTCTCATCAAATGGGTAGAGGGTACAATTATAAACTTAATCATTAAATTTTTGAATAATTTACGAACTAGAAATCATAATTTTAAATATCTCCGTACCACTAGTGTAAAAATAAATAAAAATTCATCTTACTTTACATTTCAAAAAGTTTAATTCTTGAGCATGTCGTATATGCTGCTTTTTACATGATTAAGTTAAGTAGATTTCAAAAAAGGTAAAAGAAGGTATTTTGTTATTATCCATACTAAATAGTAATACAGAAAAAGTTAAATCCAACCTGCCTTCCGATGGTTGCTAACTTCAATACTTCTATTTTAATCATAAATAATTCTAAATCTTCGATCTTAAATAATCTTTTTAGTAAACTTTCAAAATATTATATACGTTTTAAGTTTTTTAGCGTAATTGTGTTTACTTATTTACTTTTTTTTTATTAAAAAAATAGAGAATTTAATATAACTTTATTTATTTAAAATACCTTAGCTTTTAAATCAACTTCGGATTTTTTTTTATACATAATAAAACCTTTAAAAAAAATTGACCAATAAAAAATTTATATTAACATAAGACAGCAAATTTGGAGCAAGGAGAGAGACCTTAGAACAGTCACGTAAGTTTTCAACAAAGTTTAAAGCGTTGACCTTTTAATTTACAGAAGCAAGAATATCTTAACATGCATTATGCTGTCCAACCTCACGTACATGGCATCTAAACAACACCATTCGTAACCCAAATAATCGGAGCGCAGAACGCGCACGTGAGACAACATCATAGGAGAAATTTTTTTTAAAAAAAATGCTAACTTATATATAACATTCTATGAAAATTCACACCATCTCATATAATTATTTACATTCTCAAGACATTAATTTAGCACCTCACCTCCATGCATAGGCGTGTCTCATACCAATAATTCATATTTATCTATATAGTTATATTATCATAATTCATAACTCATAAGTGCAGCCACCAATTTTGCAGTTGAAGGCATCAGAACTCACCTTGGTGAGATGTACCCAGCTGCCATAAGAAGAAACAATAATTATACGAATCCTCTTGATATTCTGTTTTCAATCAGAATATAACCCCATGTTCTTACTTTGAGTTTAGTTAACTTAGCATTAGATTGTACTACAAGTTTGCAAAAACCACCTTTATAATGCACAAGCAACCCTGAAACACATCTATAAATACCAGGGAAGATATAGTGTTGTTCCATCAATTGGCTCCAATTCTCTGTGTTTCCTATATTTCAGTAACACATAGATCATTCAAGAATGGAGATCTCTAAAAGTTCCGTTCTAATCCTCTTGGTAGTGTTCGCCTCAAGCTTGATCCATGCCAAGGCATATCACGGCCTATACTGTGGCACCAGAGGAACCCGATGCTATGGAAAGTACATCACGTGTCCTGATGAATGCCCAGAAAGTGAAACAAATGAACCTAAGACTAAGGTTTGTCACATCGATTGCAACAAACCTATTTGCCGGGCTGTCTGCAGAAGTAAGATAATAAAGCTACTCTTACTCTGATATATATATATGTGCTTGTTGAATATAATGTAGTTATAGTGTTATATATCATACATACCAACAAGTTGCTGGCCAATTGTGGTACTTCTTAGTCCCTTAAACTAGGTTTCCAATTCAAATTTTGTGAATAAAAAAAATATAATTGAAAAAATTAGACCTTTATTAAAAGTGATCGGTTAAATTTTTGAAGAAATTTATAATCAGTTAAATAAGTGAATACTTCAAATTAATAACATCATTATCAAAAACTAGTGTTATATTATATATATACAGTAACCATTTGATACTTGTTTCCATTCTTTTTATCTTCCTCAATTACAAACATCTTGTTAACACTTATCATTTCTCTCTATCTCTCTCTTATTATCACTAATGCAATTCGTTTTTTGATTGTTAGGTCGCAAGCCAAACTGCAATGCACCAGGATCAGGATGCTATGATCCCCGTTTCATTGGTGGAGATGGTAGAGTCTTCTACTTCCACGGAAAGAGCAATGAACACTTCAGCCTAGTTTCTGATTCCAACCTCCAAATCAACGCACGCTTCATCGGACACAGGCCAGCTGGCAGAAGCCGTGACTACACCTGGATTCAAGCCCTAGGAGTCCTCTTCAACTCCAAAACCTTCTCACTTGAGGCCACCAAGACACCCCAATGGGACGATCTTGAGCACCTCAAACTCACCTACAATGGGAACCAAGTGGCCCTACCTGAAGGCTCTCTCTCCACGTGGCAAAATGAGGAAAAAGATGTGAAGGTGGAGAGAGTAGCGAGTAAGAACAGTGTCATGGTTACACTGAAGGATGTGGCTGAAATATTGGTCAATGTTGTGCCAGTAACCAAAGAAGATGACAGGATTCACAACTACCAAGTGCCCTCTGATGACTGTTTTGCTCACTTGGAAGTTCAGTTCAGGTTCTTTGCCTTGTCTCCAAAAGTTGATGGTGTGCTTGGGAGGACTTATAGGTTGGACTTTGAGAACCCTGCAAAGCCTGGTGTGGCTATGCCTGTTGTTGGTGGGGAAGACAAGTACAAGACTAACTCATTGTTTTCTCCTGATTGTGGTTCTTGTGTCTTCTCAAAGGAAAGTTCATCTGAGAAAGAGATCACCACCCCACAAGTGATGGAATATGGCACCCTTGATTGCACCAAGTTTTCATATGGGTTGGGCATTGTTTGCAGGAGATGAGAACTAGTTTATATCATTTATGTTGTGTTGGGTTTATTAAGAAAAAATAATGAGATGCGTGGTTGAGGTGAAAATTCTGAAACCTCGCTTCTGGGAATAATGATTCTACTCATGTATTTGCCTTTGTTGTTTGTTCAGTCGTTCATTATAATGTGAACTCTTGTATTAATGTACTTCCTGACTGCTAAGAATATGAAAATGTAAAAGTGAACTGTATTATTTAAAGTGCATCTTAAAAGAGTCAAATCATATTATTTATGTTAGATTGAAATCTGACTTATTTACAATTTATATCGGTGGTAAGATAATTAGTTAAAATATTTTTTTATTATTATAAATGATCAATTAAAACTCTTGCATATTATTCTTATAAACTTTTGAGGTGTCCCGACTCTAAATATGTGTTGTGTAAGATGGAAAAAAAAAAAAATTTAAAATAAAGAAAGTAAAGCAAGTCAACTTATCAGAAGCATTACTTTACCAGTTGTGTAGTATATTAATTTTCTGGAGAACTTTTATTGTGACTTGTAAGAACAACTTTTGGAGCTGAACTCCTACCAGTTCTATGAAGTACAACAAAATCTTACGGATACCTTGCATACAATTTCTATTCAGCTAATTGGCACTCATCAGTACCACTGAAATATGAAATATCACATTGTAACTTGCTAGTGGGAAAAAAATAAATAATTACAAAAGCACTAATGAAATGGAAAATAACATTCATTCATAAATCAGGACTTCTTAATTAGTCCAAGGCCAGGACAGCCACTGTACTTAATGGTCCATGGCCAGAATCAAGAACACATCAGAAGAACTCATCTGCCGCGAGGATGTACCAATTGTGAGAACACTGCACTTGTGGAAACATCTTCTGCATCATCGCCCATTAAAGAATTTCCCCCAGCATTCATACTAACACTGTTATCAAAAGGCTCAAGACGAGTCAACTGAATTCCAATAATGTGGTTTGTGCTGTTATCTTCTGGTTCCATGAGTGCTGATGAGGTCTCTTGAAGCTGCAAAGCATATTCAAGGTTCCACAAGACGTCACCCATAGATGGCCGATCCACTCCATACTCGGCCAAACACTTCTCAGCTGTCTCCCCAAACTTCTTGAGAGAAGCAGGATTGACTTTCCCCACCAGATTCTGATCCATGATTTGATCAAGCATTCCTTTTTTCTGCCAAGTCATTGCCCACTCAGCTATGTTAACCTGGTCCCTAGGAAGGACAGGGTTCAAGGCTGGTCTTGTGCACAACACTTCCATTAAGACAACCCCAAATGAATAAACATCTGATTTCTCTGTAAGTTGTTGCCTTCTAAAGTATTCAGGATCAAGATAACCAAAACTACCTTTAACAGCGGTGCTCACATGAGTCTGATCAAGAGCAGGACCAGTTTTGGAAAGGCCAAAGTCAGCAACCTTAGCAACAAAGTTATCATCTAAGAGGATGTTAGTTGTCTTCACGTCACGGTGAATTATGCTTTGAGATGCACCAGTGTGGAGATAATGAAGACCTCTTGCTGCTCCAATGCAAATTTCAAGTCGTTGCTTCCATGATAGAGGTGGTAGGTCAGTTCCATACAAGTGGCTCCTGAGAGGTCCATTAGCCATGTATTCATAGACAAGAATCATTTCTGATCTCTCATCACAATAGCCAATGAGAGACACAAGATGGCGATGGCGAAGCTTGGATAACATCTCAATTTCTGTTCTGAATTCAGCAAGACCTTGTTCAGATCTGGGGTTCCCCCTTTTAACAGCTACATTGGTCCCATCTTCAAGTGTTCCTTTATAAACCCTGCCAAAGCCACCAACACCAAGGAGCAGCTTCTCATCAAATTTGTTGGTTGCATTTAGGATCTCTTGGAAAGTGAATAACCGGCCAAGATTTGATGAAGCTAAAGAAATGCAGCTTGCAGTTGCACTCTTCTGTGAAGTTGATGACATTTTTGTCATGGTCTGAGAGTTTCCATATAAAGAAGGTAAAGGCAGAGGCAGCCAAGAATGGCCCTGTTGAGTAGACTTTGATTTGTATCTCACCAAGCAGCAATAACACAAACCAACCAAAGCTACGGCAGCCACTGCCCCAACACAAGAACCAACTATTACTCCCATCTTGCTTTTGCTTGATGGTGAACTAGGAAGGAGACTTTCAACTGAAGAAAGTCCATCCAAGCTATTGAATGCATTGCTGATCTTTATAATCTCCAGTCCATTCATAGTAGCATTTGTGATATCAGCCATTGTATCAGGACCAACACTAACTGTCAAAATGTTGGAGTCTGCTGAGGCATTGGAAACAAAGTCCTTGTAGTAAGGCACAGCCAAATCATTTGTTATGGATGAGAGATCAAAGCTTCCAAGAGCTATGTCAGAATTTATGAATAGATTGAACACTAACGTGTTGAGAGACTTGCTAATGATATCACAAAAGTGCACCCGGATAAAATAGGAGAAGTTTGGATCCACAGTAAAGACCCAAGTAATGTTGAAATTTGAATTGGCTACATTTGCATCCCCCATGGCTTCAGAAGTGGCATATACCCAATTTGGTGCCGTCTCAGGCGTAACACCTGCCGGATACTTAATGCTGGAAGGGTTTACTGACACTTTAGTTACTGAACTGTTTAGACGAAGGTATTTCTGATCATTCTCCCAAGTCCTTCCAAGGGTGTCATTTTGGGGTGTGAGCAAGGGACCTCCTATGTTTAAGCGGTAAACAGTCTCAAAAGCAAGTTCAGAAAGGCCATTGAATGGTGCAGCTGGGTCAAGGGCCACTGCCTGATCAACAAATAAGTCATTTGGCATTGACACAACTTCAATTGCATTGACAAAGGCCACTGAACCATTTGAAGGAATGAAGGTAACAGTCAAGGTATCAGAGGTAACATTGATGGCATACTCCCTAAACATATAAGAACCATTGTAGTTCCTAAAGGTGAAGTTGCACAAGAGAACAAAATCATCAGTGGCCACTGTTATAGCCGCAGCGGTCAAATTATGTGCAGAGTTGGGAAGAGGGGAAAAATATAGCCTAAGCCAGTGCCTACCTTTCTCAACCTCAAATCTATAAGAAGCTTTCTCAGTGAAAATCCTAGCTGATTGGTATATAGGGAATGTGACACTAGAATTGGAACTAGCAACAACAGAATTCTGGGTTTTCAACACCAATGAAGAATGCTGAGAATCAGGAACAAAAGTGCGGTCTTGGAAAGTAATGCTTTGGGATGAACCACAAGCAATTAGATAATTATCACGAGGAATGTATGCGGCAAATGAACCATTCACCAAAAACAAATAAATAACCAAAACAAAGCAAACCCACTTTACAAGGTTCATCATTAGCATCACCATTGTAGCTCCCCGAGTCTTCACCAATCCATAAAACAATTGTAAGCAATACCCTTTAAACCTGTAACCTTAACTTTCAATCCCAAGCCACAGAAAAACCTGTAACAACCTCGGATCGATCAAACACAATGCACAAAACCAGACATTTTCGTTACAAGCAATACACAAAATACCATTATTCGAATTCTAACATCACAACGAGACGTAACACAACACAACACAAACTCACAACAAGGGTCTTAACAAGGAATAATTAAATTGTGTACTAACCTGTTTTGGTCGTGGTTGTGGAGGGAGAAAAAACGTGAATAACTTGCTAGTTGCTACAGGCAATGTGATTAACATAACAGGGCCGAAAGACTGAAACAAATGAAACCCATTTCAGATTACGTGCATCCCATTACTGAAACCCCATCAAGTTTTACTTTTTAGTGTGACCGCAACGCAAAAAACTTTTTCTAGGTTGTTGATTAGGCTGTCAATTAAAGTGGGAAAAGGGGACCCCACAAAGAGAGAATAAAAAAACAAAAAAGTGTTAACGAAACTTGAAAGTTGAAACTCCCATGAAACCAGCTGTTACTAGAAGATTCTGGGGGTGTGGTTTTCAAAATTCGGAATCTTTGAAACCAAAGGAGTAAAACGAACAAAACAACTAAATAAACAACACAATGGAAGTTCAGGAATTGAGGTTTGGAACTCTTAAAAATTTAAATTTGAAGTTTAAAGAAAAGAGAAAAAGAAAAGAACATGGTTTGGATTTTGGAAGTTGGAAGGAAATGGCTGTTGCGCTGGGTTCAACGATAAATGGGACCCGCTTTAACGCGGCTTCACCATATAGAAGGGGTAGGGCTTCATAACACCCATCCAACATTGAACACAGTTAAGCTTTTTACCATGGCTAAAAGCTTTCTTTATTATTATTATTATTATTATTCTGCAATTTTGTTTCTTACTATACATATCTTGTCCTTTATTATAATTTTTTAATTTTAGGAATATCTCTGTCAACAAAATTTGTCTCGTTCTTACAGAATTTTCTTTGTCTCATTCAATATCCAGCAGAAAACCTAGTAATTGTGTAGTGACATCCATCCATCAATCATCGATGTAAGAAATTAAGCATTATGTGTAAAAAGTTACATTATTAATTAATTAAAAATCATCTGAAATATTGTTTTAGTATAATATTGTAAAAATTATAAAATTTATACAGTGCCCTATAAATAATGCTTAATTATCCTTTTAGTGTACATAATTTTATAATTTTTATTAGTCTTTATAATTTAAAATATATTATTTTAATATATATATATATATAAGAATTAAATTGAAATATTTTTAATTAGAAAGATTAAAAAGTAAAGTTCAATAATTATAAAAATTAAAAAAGGTAAATTAACCTATGTAAAATAAAGATCTTGGTAATAATAAGAATCCTATTAAGAATTGCCTATAAAGTCACTGACTTGGACAGAAATACTTCATGTTCATTCGAATTATTCCTAATTCCTATCTTAGTTATTTGAAACTTGACTTTTCGTGGTTTTCCAGTCAACTTTTGGATTAGGTAACAAAATCATCGGGATAACTTTTATCAAATTAGGTTTTATGATTTGACAAGGAATAACTATATCTAGTTATCTACAATTCCAAATCCGTACAGTCAGAATCCCAAGATTAAGATATAGTGTAAAAAAAATAGCCTAAGATATAAAACTTCATCTGCCAAAATCAAATTTAATTCAGTAATCAAATTATGTGATTTCTGCCCATTTTCACGGGAGATGAAAAAGTTAAAGCTATATTTGAGTGTGATTAGAGAAATAAGCGAGAAAAAAATGAAAAGAAAAATTAAAATATATAGTAAAAATTAGTTTATTTAGTTTGAGAAAAATAAATAAAAATATTATAAAAACATTTAATTTGAATAAATAAAAAAGAAATAAATTATAATAGAAGAAAGATTATTGTTTACACTTATAAAATTAACTACGCACAATAAATATAGTCCTGTTTAAAAAAACATAATATAATTCAATGTAATCGATTATGGCATGTATTATATTCGATTACGTTTGGTGCATCAACAACAATTCATATGATAAAAAAAATCTAATTGAAAATAATTAAATTATTTAAAACCTAACATAAAAAGATGAGAAAATCCATTTGAAAGCAATTAATACAATTAAAATTATACGAATAAATTTAGCGTAATTAAAAGCAATTAACGGACAATTGCAAAAATTATACTATAACAAATGAAATAATTAGTGTTGCTATTTATATAATTAATATAAGAAGATTAAATAATTTATATAACAATTAATGTACAATTAAAACACAATTAATGTAAAATGAAATAGTTATAGCTAAAATTAATGAGCAATTAAAAACAATTATACCAATTAACGTATATCTTATTACATAATGTAGATAATTATTTATTAATAAATTAATTATAATAAAATAAGTAAAAAATGCACCAAAGAAAAAAAGAAGACGATCCTTATTGGTTGCTCTAACAGCTTTGAAGACGGAAAATTGAATTATTTGAAAGAAAAAGTTAACTCAATGAAAAAAAAAACAACAATACAATATTTGAGATCTTTAGTAACAATATGACTTGTTTCCTACAGACATTTTATACATTTTCAATTCATAAAAATTATTATTTTATAAGTTTCTGGAATTGATGTCATATTTTATATACACTGTATATGATAAAACTTATTGATGAAATTTCTGAAAATAAAATATTTGAATAATTTTTTTAAAGGTTTGATTATGTTTTTGGTTTTTATAATTTTTGTAAATTTTATCTATTAGTCTCAAATAATTAAAAATGACATGTATAAACATTAAAAGGTAAAATTAAAAAAAATTATAATAAGTAAAAGTGAATAAAAAAATTAGACTAAGATAAAATATTTTTAATTATAAAGACTTAAAAATAAAATTCATGAAATTGTAGAGACTAAAAGAATAATTAAATTTTTTATAGAAATAAAAATAGTTGAAAAATAAGTATTTTTTATCCATAAGAATTATAATAGTATTGGAACTTACAGCATTGCATTAATTTTTTTGTAAAAATAAAAATAATTAAAAAGTAAAAAAAAAATTATCCATAAAAATTGTAATAGCATCGGAACTTACGACATTGTTTAAATAGATGATAAATGATATACAATAATTTATTATTGAGGGGTGATCGCTAGTCAATAATGTGTAGTGGAAATTGGTGTAGATACAATAATACTTAAATATGATTTTTATTTTTGCCGTTCTAATATTTTTATTAACAAAAAATATTAATAAACTTTAAATAGACAATACCAAGAAGAGTGACGTTTTTCTTATTAAAAATAAATACCGATATTTTTATATAAATACCGATATTTTTATTTATTTACTCCAAAATCAATGTTAAAGACTAAAATATTTTGTGACTTTAAATTTCAAATAGATAAAAAAAATTTTAAAAAAATGTTTTATAAAGACAAAAGTTAAATTTTATTTATTTTATAAAATAATATCTTAAAATTTTTAAGAGATAAAAATTATAAAATAAAAAAATATTCATTTTATAAAGATTAAAAATATAGTTAAACTTAATATACAATTTAGGGAGTGAATTTTGTACACTTTTAAATAAAACTCTCAATATTTTCTCTCTTCACTTTTTAAGATATTTTTTTTTAACCAAGGTATTTCTTAGCTGTAAGCCAGTGTCTAATCCTCCATAGTACTAAAATTTATTCAAAAGATTTGACATTTCAACAAATATTTTTTTTCTACATAAGAGTTAAGGATTATACTCTTGACTGTTTGTGTAACGACCCAGCTGGTCACTACACTTAGCACAACACACTAGAAACACCACATAGAAAGGAATAAGTATATACATATAGGGTCTAGAATATATACATATACATGATCCAAGTCTGGATAGAGTTAAAGTGTACAAAATACAACAAAGGCTACTACACTAAGTAGCTAAAACAACAAAAGATCCTAAAAGATCTGCTCCGTTTGCCAGCTACAGACTCACCATCAGCCACCAACCTATCCCTACTCTACTCCCATACATAGTATGATCATCGCAGTCCAAACATCATGGAGACAACAAAGGGTAAGTTAGTGAAAAGAAATCAACATACATATAAAACAATATGAATGGTAAACAGCTACAGCTATCAGCACATCCACACAGCTTAGACTACACCACAGCAATTCAGCAATATCAGCACCACAAAGCGACAATTTCAACACTGCATAGCAGCAATAACAGTACCACTCTAGTGGCTATAACAGCATCGCATAGCGGCAATAACAGCACCGCCTTAGTGGCTATAACAGCACCACAATAGTGGCTATAATGACACCGACATAGCGGTTATAACAGCACCACAATAGTGGCCATACACAATATACAGCTCAGCAATATACAGCACAACCAAACAGCTCACAGCACAGCACAGCAAATCAGCATACAACACAGCTAAGTAGTATTCAACACAGCTTACTACTCACAACTTAGCTCAGCACGGCAATATACATCTATTTCAGCATAGTTCAGCATATCAAGTCAATATCATCAGACGCGCCTGGAGAACTCATGGTCGCGCCTAGCGCGGCTCAACCAGAAAGCACCAGGGACCAGCGCGCCTGGCGCAAGATTGCTCGCGCCCGGCATGACCCAGCCAGAGAGTCCAAGACTCTCACGCGCCTAGCGCAATTCAGATTGCGCCCAGCGCATGCTCAGGCAGAGACTCCATGGAGTCTCACGCGCCTAGCGTTCCTAGTGTGAGACCCTCAGTCTTTCCCCTCTCTCCCTCTCAACATTTCACTAGTAGCCTTCCTTCTTCCTCTCATTCTTTCTCTCCCACTCACTTGGACTTGTTCATTCTTTTATCTTGGTAGCCGTAGGAGCTGTGTAAAGGTGCGGGAATGAAGCTGAAGCGCGGACTCTTCCTCCTCCGTTCATCATTTTCTCCATTCGTTTTCTCCTTTCTCCTTCCCGGAAGCTTGGAACTTCTCCTCTGAGGTAAGGGAAGCTAGATTCTCGCTATTTTTGGCTGTAACTGAGTCTAGAAACTCATTTGTTGTTGGATAATTGACAGTTTTTGGCTGAAATTGCTGAAGTTGGGGTTTCGGGATTTTCCGGGGTTTGGTGAAAATTTGGTGATCTTTCCTTGTTTGCGGTTGCATGTTGAAAAAGTTGGTATTTTTGGGTTGTATGATGAAAATGTGATGTTTTGGACCGATTGCATGTGCCTGGGGTGTTGATTTTGCAGGTTTTGGGTGAAATTTTCGAACTGGGGAGGGTTCCTGTTTGAATTTGAGCCGGGCGCAGTTCTTCGCGTCGGGCGTGAGTTCAAAGGGGAATCCGTGGGTGAAACGCGCCGGGCTCGGGGAGAACCACGCGGGGCGCAATAGACCCCTGAAAGTCTCTGGTTGAGAATTGCGCCGGGCGCGCATTTGATTTTCAGAATTTGACTTTAGAGTATTCATTAAAGTTGTAGCCTTGGATGTTAGCTTTCCAATGGCGCTGGAATCACTCAAAAAGGAGTTTTAGAACTCCAGATATGGCCGTTTTAGTGAAGAGGGGTTAAACTGCCAGCATTACTTATAGCTGTTGCGGTTTTTATCAATTTTAACAAGGTAGATGAAGGAATTAGGACTTGGTGTCTTCAAGAGAGTTGTATTAAATCTTCTTATCTTTCATATGAGATAGGGATGAGTGTAGTATGAGTAGTATAACTCCTAATGTGCTATTTTCTGTGAAGGTTGCCATTTCACATTTAGTGATTTGGTTAGGTTGAAAGTTGTTCTAAGTACTTAGGTTGATTGATGTTGTTTG